TTGCCTTAAAAAAATGGGAAATCAAAGAAATAGAAAACTATTTCTAAGAAAAATGGGTTTTTGAATTGTTTGGTTGGCTAAAAAAAAAGAAAATCAAAGAAATGGAGATGAGATGAGATGAGTTGTCACATTATTATTGGATGATGTGAGTGATTTTTAAAAAAAACTAGTTTTGATGTTGTTCGGTTGGCGAAAAAAATAAGGAAATGAATTATTAGAAACTTATTTTCTGTAGTTTTGTTGTTTTCTTTTGTTTGGTTCATTCTTAAAAATAAGAAATGAAATGAGATGAGATGAGTTGTCATTGTATTATTGGGTGATGTGAAGAAAAATTAAGAAAAGTGTTTTCATAACTTTTTGGGATGAAAACAAAGAAATGAAATGTTAATGAGATGAGGTGAATTGTTATAATATTTTATTCGATGATATGAGTGATTTGAAATGATGAAAAGAGATGAGTTGAGTGATGTTTGGATGAAAATAATATTTTATTAGATGTGATGGATGAGTTGTTAGATGAAAATAATATTTTATTAGATGTGGTGGATGAGTTGTTAGATGAAAATAATATTTTATTAGATGTGGTGGATGAGTGGTTAGATGAAAATAATATTTTATTAGATGATGTGGATGAGTTGTTGGATAAAAATAATATTTTATTGGATGTTGTGAGTGAGTTTTAGGGATGGAAATGGAAGAAATGGATTATTTTGAGATTTCCACCTTTTCCATTTCCATTTCTTGGTTTTTAGGAAATAAACGAACAAGCCCTTAGTAAAAAACGTCGACCCTTCACATACCAGCCACGTGTCCAATCAACCGGGGACCCGCAAGGCGCGTCCTCATCCACGGCAGGTGATTTCCGCGTGCTGGCGGAACCAGCAATGAAGTTTCTCAGATACCTGGGGACGGAGGGCATATTTGACTTTTTGCTGGGGACCCATTGCGAATACAAAATAAACGGTCGCCATCGCATCGCCCCATGTTTCGCCTACGGTCACCAGACTCACCACAGTTAAATAAGGTGATTATTTATTTATTTATTTATTTATTGATGGCAAATAAGGTGATTACTTATAACGGAAGATGAAATTCCAACGTTATTTATCTTCTTTCATATTCAAAAGCAACTGTGGTGGTACTTCTCACATGCACCCTATAGTCTATAGATCAATCACAAAAAAAAACTTTTATCTAAACTTTTTATAGTCGGCTAATTTTCATCCTATAGAACATTGTAGAAAATACTACGTTATTTTTTTTCATTAAGACAATAGCAAAATAGATTTGGATGACGAGCACTACTAATTGAGTAATTATTTATAAGAGTTAGCATCTAGTCAAGATCCACAAATTCCTTAATACTAGTGTGAACACCATACGAAGCACGACATATCTATTTTTCCCCGCTACAGTAATCCCGGTTTTAAATGCTACAATATTTTTTGATTGCTACAGTATCCCGTTCTGCTACATTGATTTTTTAAAATGCAAATTCTTTTCAAAAAAAAATACCACAGTAACTCGTCCCTTGAATGCCACAGTAATAACGCTACAGTAAATGGTACTGTATCATTACTATAGTATGAATAGTAAATATTGAGTTCTCCTATTTGTATAGAGGAATAGATATAAGTAGGCCTGTCCATCCGGGCCGGGCAAAACCGGGACCCAGACCCGGACCCGGGTACCCCGGGCCGGGTCCGGGCCCGGGCCCGACCGGACCGGGTTCCGGGCTGGCCCGGGTGATTTTCTTTTTTTTTAATTTTTTTTCTAAATTTTTTTATGTTATTTAAATTATAAATTATAAAAAAAAGACAAGAAAAATAATAAAAACAATAATTTTATTAATTACTTAAAATGGCATAAATTACAAATAAAAAATGATAAAAATAAATTCTTTATTAATAATTAATAAATCATTTTTTTTTTTATTTTTTTTTATTTTTTTCCAAAATTTTTTAATGTTATTTAACTTATAAATTATAAAAAAAAGACAAGAAAAATAACAAAAACAATAATTTTATTAATTACTTAAAATGACATAAATTACAAATAAGAAATGATAAAAACATATTCTTTATTAATAATTGATAAATCAGTTACAAATTACAAGTACAAATTTATTTTGGAATTAATCGCATCACAATAGATAAGTAAATCCCAACTAGGTTGGCACCTACTCACCTATATCACTATCATTTGCAATTATTTCCAAAATAATTCTTTACAAATTGTAAGCTAAGATATAAAAACTACAATCTATTCTTTATATCTATCTGCTAGTCCCAATTCTTCAAATTTATCTTCAATTCCAGCCATCCGATCGATGCCTTGCGTTCGCTTCTCGTACCTCCACCAATCTTGTAGGCACATCACCGCTTGTACAGTATATGGATCCAAGCATGTCCTGTGATCGTCGATCAAACGACCTGCTGTGCTGAAGGCGGATTCCGAAGCTACCGTCGAAACCTGCACTGTTAGTAAGTCACGAACCATGGTGGAAAGTATAGGATATGAAACTGATCCATATACTTTCCACCATTGCAAAATATCTAAAGCATTTCCTTGACATCTAACTAAAGAAGCAGAAAAATATTCATCTATTTCAGAAACCTCCGATGATGACGATCCAAGTCCAGATCCACCAGTTAGCTCGGCTACCATTGCATACCTATCAAAACTTACACTTTTACCTCGGGCTCGGGATGAGCTCGAAGAAACCGAAGCTGCAGACTGTTGTGCAGCTACACCATGTCTAGCTGCATACTCATCATATAAAGTTTGAAAATAATTTCTAATAAGTAAATGATGAGTAGTAGCATTCAGGGTGGTTCCATCATCTAAGTCTATAACCTGTCCACCATACAATGACTGTAACAAACTTCGAAGGCCAATATCCTTCAAGCATGGATCAATAAGAACCCCCAAACCAAAAATATGAGGAATAGGCCTAAAATACTTATTAAATTTGCTCTCCATTTCAAAAACCATAGGTCCAAAAGTAGCATCCAAACGATATTTATCAAAAATTTTTTGAATATTTAAAATTTGTAAAGCAGCTAAAGTAATGGTTGGATAATAACAGCCAGATAATAACATGGTAGCATCATAAAAAACTTGTAACATTTCATTTAAATTACATATAACTGTCCATTCATCTTCAGTTATTCCATAAGTGCTACCAGAACTAGAACTAGAAGCATAATAGTTTATAAAATCAGTTATAATGTCTTTATATTCTATTGCTACACTTAACATTGCATATGTGGAATTCCACCTATGGTCAACATCTTTTGGAATTAGTCTAGGCTTTACATTTTTTCTTTTACAAAATTGTTTCCATCTTTTAAGTCTTTGTTCAGAAGCACTATGCATGTAAGCAACTGTTCTAACCTTTTCTATCATGGGTTTAATTTCAGTAAATGCACTTTGAACAATTAAATTTAAAATATGACAGATGCACCTAATATGAAAAAGATCACCATGACATGGCAATGATAAAGATGATCTGATAAAATCAACAGCTACATTGTTATTACTTGCATTATCTAGTGAAAGAGAAAATATTCTTTCTAAAATTTTTAATTTCATAAGTTCTTCAATTATTAAATTTGCAACATTAGCACCAGTATGTGACTCTTCTATTGCAATAAAAGAAACAACTCTTTTAAACATTTGCCAATTTTTATCAATCCAGTGTGCTGTGATACATAAATATCCAGTTTGTGCTCTAGATGTCCAAATATCAGAAGTTAAAGAAAATTTACAGTTTAAATTTTTAAAATAAGAAATTATTTTTTTTTGTTCTTGCTGATAATATTTTAAAATATCACGTTGACAGGTTTGACGAGAAAATTTTTTAAATGCAGGATAAAAACCATCTCTAAACATATCTTCAAATTCATCATCTTCTACTAATTTAAAAGGAAGGTTTTTAAGAATGATAAACCTGATTACGCATTTCCTGACTTTGGCAGCGTCATAGTTCAAACTACCGAGACTACCAGAAGAGGAGGATATGGATTGTCGGATATCACCTTGAGGAGTCTGGCCTTTGTTGTGTTTATCTAAATGGCGTTTGAGGTGGTTGGTGCCGCTCTTATGATGAGCTTGAAAAATCTTGCCGCACAAAGCACACTTAGCCTTCTGGGTGAGGATCCTACCGTGTTCATCATTGGTGACGTCGATCTTCTCGTAAAAATTCCACACATCGGATCTTGGCCGTTTAGGAGCTCTTGGTGCAGATTCGTCGCCACCGGATTCGAGATTAACTTCAGTAGGAGGACTGATAGTAGGAGGACTCATTTCAGGATCATGAGATATGTTTTGCTCTTCATAATCAGATCCGGAAGCCATTTGATGAAAGGATTAGAATGTATAAATAAGAGTATAAGAGTATAAGAGAGAGTATAATAGTATAAGAGAGAAGAGATGAGTTTTTGGTGTGAAGAAAACAAAGGCCCGGCCCGGCCCGGCATATTTCCGGCAACGGTCACGAGTCGTGACCGTTGCCACACGGGCCGGGCTCCGGGCCCGGGCTGCCCGGCCCGGATGTCACCCGGCGCCGTACTGTTCCGGGCCGGGCCGGGCTCGGGCCGGGCGCCGTTGAGGCAACCTGGACCCGGGCCCGGAACCCGGCCTGGCCCGGGCCAGCGGGTAAAATGGACAGCCCTAATTATAAGCAAGTTGCACTCATTCACTTATTTATACATACCGCCACTTACACCTAACACCCTTTTAACTCATTTACTAGAACTTAACCTTCTTTGACTTGTCGAGTGTTTTACTGATACTGAAGGTAAAGATGATATTTATTTACAATTTACCCTAATTAAAAAAAAAGAAAAATGAGAAAAATAACAGTAGAGCAAAAGAGAGGTTACCTCCACCCGAAGGCAACACCGAGCCACACTGAAAAGATCCACTCTCGGACGAATATTCCGTGGTCTAATTTGATTCCATTAATTAATTAAACAACCGAAGCAAATAAAAAAACACAACCCCCACATAATATCCGCCACGCTGCTCACCCCTCACGAATATTATAATCCAAACCAATTTCATAATTTCATGCAAAAGAAAAAAAAAAAAACACCAAAGCACCCCAAGGGCAAATCCGTAATCTCCCGCCCAAGCCCGCTAAAATATAACGGACCGACGTCCCCACGACCGTCCAGCTCTCGTCACTGGCAAGCACAGCCGTTCGAAGAGGAGGAGGGAGGAGGAGGAGGAGAGGATCATGGCATCAGAGGCGATCTCAACCGTTCATCTCGCATACGAGGGATCGGGCAGAACTGGGCCAAAATCAGGCCCCTGGGCTGAGGACGGCAGCGAGACGGGCCAGGTCGAAGGCCCGAAGAGGAGGAGGAGGAGGGAGAGGGAGCTTGAAAAGGCTTGGGAGATGAAGAGGTCTAATAACAGCGAGAGGTGCAGGGTTTCGGTTAGGCCTAGAGGCCCAGATTCGGAGTCCATTTATATGGACATGGACGAGGTCAAGGCCTGCAGAGAATTGGGCCTTGAGCTGCCCTGTGACTGGACGGTGGAGATTCCCACTAGATTCTCTGAAGATACTGGTAGTGTGGGTGAATCTCCTGTTGGGAACTGGAGCATCTCTGGTCCTGGTTAGTACCCGGAGGAATCTTCTAATTTTCTTGAATAAATCTTCTTTAATTTATTTACTTTTGGGGGGTTTGTATGATTTTAGATTCTACTAACAATGAAATCGCTATTAGGTTCTCTATTTTTATTAATTAGTTTCAAATTAACTCCTCTAATTAGGAGGAGCAATAGCAAGATAAATTAGGTGGTAATTGGAGAAAGTTTAATACTCTCAATTTTTATAGTTTATCTCAATTTTTATGGATAAGATGACACCAGCTAATATTTCCACTAAGTGGTTTTGCGCTATATTGATTTTTAAGTTTACTAATGGTTTTTAAGGTCAAAGTGGTTTTCAAAATAATAACGGGAACCTTATGTGGCATGATCTTATTCATTGGAAGTGATATAGGCAGGAAAAATTTCAGTCATTCGAGGGACTATTTAAACATATAAAAGATATAAGAAAAATTTCTCAAGGACCCAAAATATGGGACCAATAGAGGAGACAAGTGAGATGTTAATGATTGCCAACTCATTATCTAATAGGAGGGGGACACCTCACTTGTTCCCCTATTGATCCCATATTTTGGGTCCCTGTAGCAAAGCTCAAGATATAAGGGGCTCATACTAGATTTCCCATCTATTTTTGCTAATTTTTTTTTTAAAAAAATAGAAGTGTTGGATGAATGTTTTTGAATCTTTTCGTTTATAGGGGACGACCCTAAAGATGTGAAGGCTAGGCTGAAGGCTTGGGCTCATGCAGTGGCACTGGCGTCAGCATCGAGCCTCAGCGGATGATCCGATTAGTGGTCGGAGGGCGGAGAGAGGGTCTGATCGTATATATGGTGTAGGGGGTTGTAGGATTGAAGCTTCCAATTTGTTTTGGGTTGCGAGATTTGTTTTAAGTTTTTTTTTTAATTTTTCTTAGTGTGCATATGCTTGTAACCAGAAACTGTCCAATTATTTTTATTTATTGGATAGTTGGTGTACCAAAGACTGTTTTTATCGACGTCTTTGAGAACTAGTGCATTAATCAAAGAGTTCTTTGATTTATTGTGCACAAATTATCTAGCGTCGGAGATGCACTGGTAGTTTTTTTTGCTATGCGATCGAAATGGCAAGAAACTGTTGTTTTGTTTTAGAAAGAGATCCCCCATTGAGCTTATGAAGCACTTTGGAGAGTGATTTTATGGTTACTGATGTAATATTTTTTATTTTTTTTGTGAAAACTTTGTTGTATACTATAAGAGCAACGGAGTAGAGTGAGAGCACCCTGTATTATTTTTGTTATTTTGTAGCTTTGTTGACTTGTTCAATATGAATAACTTATTAGTAGATGTTATGGTTGAGCTTCACATTAACTTTTCTTTTGAGTAGATGTCAGTGTTGTTGCTAGCTACTACTGCTTCCTCTCCCTCTTTAATGCACGAGGGGTGTCACGGTTGGAATTGGTAACTACCTCTCTCTTTCAAACGAGATATTTTTGATCCAACATCATCTGTGTATTGTGTCGAACTATGACAGACACCTCGCAAGATTTATTCCGTCATTATTTCTTTACCATCAAATTGAGATCCTCTCCTAATGCATAGTGTTCCTAATATCTCCTAATAAAGAGATCTTAGCCTTTGATTTATCAATCAAAGGTCAAGATCTCATCCTTATCCTCCCCCTACTTTTGCTCATGAGGAGATCTTGGCCTTTGATTGATAAATCAAAGGCCAAGATCCCATCAGGAGATCTTAGGAATGTTAGGAATTTAACGTCTAAACCCCTAATTGCAACGGAAACGCAGTATAGAAAAGTACACCAAGATTTAACGAGGTTCGGCAACTGCCTACGTCCTCGGGAGCCACACAGATAATTTCTTATTAATTAAACAAGAAATTACAATTTAGGAGCGTATCTCAAAACTGAGATTTCTCTGATAAACATTGTAGCTACAGTGTTAATAATCAAAGGGTATGAACCCTTTCAATTCTCACTTGAGAATAAATACCCCACAATTAAAACCCCTCTTTTAATTCTTTATTTCTCTCTCTTCTTTAATCCCCTCAACCACTGTTGAGTGTTGGGATTTAAACACAAAATCGCAGCTGCGATTTGGGGGTTTTCCGCCGCCGCCTGGGAAGAAAAATCGGAGAGGGGGAAGGCTTCAGCAACCGAAACCCTAGCTTGATGGGGGGTTTAAATAGGCGGAGATGAAGAGCTGGCGACAGCCTGTCGCCAGCGAACAACCCTGACGCAAAGGTCGGGTTCGCCAAAAAACAACGCATGAGCTAGGATGCGACGAGAGCTAGGGTGAATATGAACGCAAGGTGCATCGCGTGAAGCAGAACTCGCCTTCGCCAAACGCAAGTTCAACCATCGACGCAGAGCCTCTAACAGACCAGAGCTCGAGGCTCGAGCTGTCCTGATCGTGACCTCGCCCCCTTGTCCTACCTCGCCGCCGCCATCCCTGAGCTCGCGGAGCTCCTTCCGCGCACTGAGTGAGTTTGATCTTCACCCTCATTCTAACAATCTCCCACTTGGAGATCAAACCGCCGTCAATCAGGCTATCTCATCAAGCTCCTCTCCTGTGTGGCTCCGCCCTCATCATCTATGCATGAAGGCCAACTGAAGTTGCGCACAACTCCAGTTTCTGAACTGTCACCGTCTTTGTTAACATGTCTGCTGGATTCTTACTTCCTGGAATCTTTTCCAGTTTCAACACGTCATCTTCCAACAGGGATCTGATGAAGTGGTACCGAAGCGCAATATGCTTCGTTCTAGAATGAAATGCTGAATTTTTCGCCAAGTGTATCGCACTCTGGCTATCACTGTGCAAAACATTCTTCTCCTGTTTGAATCCCAGCTCTGTCAACAAACCTTGAAGCCATATCATCTCTTTACTGGCTTCAGTCACTGCAACATACTCAGCTTCTGTAGTGGATAGGGTAACGATCTTCTGTACCTGTGACATCCAACTAACAGCTGTAGTTCCAACGGTGAATACATAGCCGGTGGTGCTTCTTCGGTGATCAACTTCGCCGCCGAAGTCTGCATCTACGTACCCTTGCACTTCTACCTCTCCCTTACCAAAGTGCAAACACTTCTGTGTGGTGCCTCGTAGATATCTCAGAATCCACTTGACCGCTTCCCAATGAGCTTTTCCTGGATTCGACATAAACCGGCTGACCACTCCCACTGTATGGCCAATGTCTGGTCTCGTACAGACCATAGCGTACATCAAGCTTCCGATAGCTGAGGCGTAAGGTACCTGAGCCATACTCTCTTTCTCTTCTTCTGACTGAGGAGACTGATCCTTCGATAAGCGAAAATGACTGGCCAAGGGTGTGCTCACAGGCTTGGCGTCGCCCATGTTGAATCTCTGCAAAACACGGTTGATGTACTCCGTCTGAGATAACTGCAAGAGACCTCTCTTCTTATCTCTCGTGATTTGCATTCCAAGGATCTTCTTCGCTGGACCCAAGTCCTTCATGTCAAACTCCTTTGACAGCTGCTGCTTCAAACTCTTGATATCCTCCATATCTGCTCCTGCAACCAACATATCATCAACATACAGCAGTAGGATGATATAGCTGGACTGATATCTTTTGAAGTAGCAACAGTGGTCGGCGTTGCACTTCTGGAAACCTTCCTTGTGCATGAAGCCGTCAAACTTCTTGTACCACTGTCTTGGGGCTTGTTTCAGGCCATACAAGCTCTTCTTGAGTCTGCACACCAGGTTCTTTTTCTTCTTTTCTTCTGAGAAACCTTCTGGCTGGTGCATGTATATCTCCTCTTCTAGATCTCCGTGAAGAAACGCCGTCTTCACGTCTAACTGCTCGAGATGAAGATCTTCAATTGCTACAATACTCATCACGGTCCTGATAGTATTTAGCTTCACCACGGGAGCGAAAATATCGGTGTAGTCAATTCCTTCCTTCTGCTGGAAACCTTTGACAACTAGCCGGGCTTTATATCTTCTGGAACCATCCTGCTCCTCTTTCACCCGGTACACCCATTTGTTGTGGAGTGCCTTCTTACCCGTGGGCAACTCAGCTAGTTCCCACGTCTGGTTTGATATGAGAGACTTCATCTCATCTTTCATTGCAAGCTCCCACTTGCTCGCATCTCCACACTGACAAGCTTCATCAAAGCTTTCAGGCTCCCCACCATCTGTCAACAACAGATAGTTCATGTATCTCCTGTTGGGTACAGGAGGACGAGAAGATCTTCTTAATATCGGAGCTGGTGCGTCGGGCTCCTGCGCACCATCTTGTCCAACAGGCTCTTCTTGCTGAGGACCCTCTGCATTGGGTTCTTCCGAGAGGTTACTCGGGACATCATCTGCATCTACAAATATTGACTCGCTCTCTGAGTCATCAGTCTTGTGCATGTCCTTGTACATCACCTTCTCGTTGAATATCACATCTCTGCTCCGGATCACCTTCTTGTTTTCGTTGTCCCAAATGCGGTAGCCGAACTCATCTTCACCATAGCCGATGAAAGTGCATTTCTTTGACTTGGGATCAAGCTTATTCCTGCCTTGATCACTAATATGCACGTAAGCTACACAACCGAAAACTTTTAGATGTGAGAGTTTTACCTCCTTTCCGCACCATACCTCCTCTGGTATTCTGTGCTCCAATGGAACCGATGGACCTCGGTTGATCAAGTAAGCTGCTGTGTTGACCGCTTCTGCCCAGAACTGCTTCGGTAGGCCTGATTGTACTCGAATGCTTCTGGCTCTCTCTGTCAACGTTCGGTTCATCCGCTCAGCTACACCATTTTGCTGAGGCGTGCCGGGCACGGTTCTCTCCATTCTGATCCCGTGCTCATAGCAGAACTTCTTGAATCCGGTGTCTTCATACTCACCGCCATTGTCGGTCCTGAGCTTCTTTATTCTCAGACCGGTCTCATTCTCGACCATGGCTTTCCATCTTCTGAAAGCCTCAAACACTTCTGACTTATGTTTCAGAAAGTAGACCCATACTTTCCGAGTGTGATCATCGATGAAAGTTACGAAGTAGTGTTTCCCACCAATCGACGCAGTGGTGGTTGGTCCCCAAACATTTGAGTGAACGAGCTCTAGCTTCTGCCTCCTGGGGGTTCTGCCACTTGTCTGAAAGCTGACTCTCTTCTGCTTTTCAAGTATACATTCTTCACACATATCCATCTCCACTGACTGCAGTCCTGGGAGTTTTCCCTTTGTGTGCATGATTTTCATCCCCTTTTCACTCATATGACCGAGTCTCTGGTGCCACAGCTTTGAGGTCTCATTGCTAGTTGCAACTGAGATCGAACAACGTGCACCTGCTGTCATATACAGGGTACCGATCTTCTTGCCTCAGAAAATCGTCATTGTGCCCTTTGAGATCTTCCAATCATCTCCATGGAAGGTTGTGGTGTATCCTTCGCCAGCCAACTGGCCTACGGATATTAAATTCTTTCTCAGGTCGGGAATATGCCTGACATCCTTCAGCTCCCATACTGACCCGTTCAACTTAATTTTCACCACGCCTTTGCCCACTATAGCACACGGTTGATCATCACCAAGATATACGTATCCAAGTTTTCCGGGGGTATACTTCTCGAAGAATTCTTTCTGAGAAGTAGCGTGGAACGACGCTCCTGAATCTAACACCCAAGATTCCTCCTTGCTCTCCAAAGAGCATATCAATGCGTCGTCTCCTCCTGAAGTGGATGTGACATTCACCTCTGCCTTTGCCTCCTTCTCTTTCTGTGCACTCTTGCACTGATTCTTGTAATGCCCGGTCTTTCCACAATTCCAACACTCGATAGCCTTCGAGCTGTTGCTTGGATTCCTTGATTTGGACCTCCTGTCCTTTGATCTACCTCTGTAGTTTGATTTTCCTCGTCCGTTTCCTCTGGTTGAATTTCTACCTCTTGACTCTGTATGCAATACTGAAGAGGTTGTAGCTTCACCCGTTTCTCTCCGTCGGATCTCCTCACTGAGAACCAAATCACGAACGTCGTCGAACTTCAACTTATTGTTTCCCGACGAGCTACTCACAGCTGTGACTGTAGCGTTCCAACTCTCTGGTAGGGAAGACAACAATATCAACGCCCGAACTTCTTCATCAAATTCAATCTCAACTGAACTCAATTGGGTTGTAACCGTATTAAGTTCATTGAGGTGTTGTGCTACTGACGCGCCTTCCGCCATTTTCAGATTGAATAACCGCCGCATCAAATGAACTTTGTTCGCGGCTGATGGCTTCTCATACATATTTGAGAGAGCTGCCATAAGACCCGCCGTGGTCTTCTCCTTCGCTATGTTGAACGCAACATTGCGAGTCAACGTCAATCTGATAACTCCGAGGGCTTGTCTATCTAGAAGGTTCCACTCATCTGCCTTCATGGAATCTGGCTTCTTCCCCGATAGTGGTTGATACAGATTTTTCTGATACAGATAATCCTCTATCTGCATTTTTCAGAATCCGAAATCTGTTCCATCAAATTTCTCAAGTCTCATTTTTGCCTCATCTGTGGCCATGGCTCCCACTTGAATCTGACTTGTTCTAGATCGTTTCACGCTCTGATACCAGTTGTTGGGAATTTAACGCCTAAACCCCTAATGCAACAGAAACGCAGTATAGAAAAAGTACACCAAGATTTACGAGGTTCGGCAACTGCCTACGTCCTCGGGAGCCACACAGATAATTTCTTATTAATTAAACAAGAAATTACAATTTAGGAGCGTATCTCAAAACTGAGATTTCTCTGATAAACACTGTAGCTACAGTGTTAATAATCAAAGGGTATGAACCCTTTCAATTCTCACTTGAGAATAAATACCCCACAATTAAAACCCCTCTTTTAATTCTTTATTTCTCTCTCTTCTTTAATCCCCTCAACCACTGTTGAGTGTTGGGATTTAAACACAAAATCGCAGCTGCGATTTGGGGGTTTTCCGCCGCCGCCTGGGAAGAAAAATCGGAGAGGGGGAAGGCTTCAGCAACCGAAACCCTAGCTTGATGGGGGGTTTAAATAGGCGGAGATGAAGAGCTGGCGACAGCCTGTCGCCAGCGAACAACCCTGACGCAAAGGTCGGGTTCGCCAAAAAACAAACGCAGAGCTAGGAGGCGAACGCAGAGCTAGGGTGAAGAGGCGAACGCAAAGGTGGGCATCGCTGTGACGCAGGGCTCGCCTTCGCCAAACGCAGAGTTCACCATCGACGCAGAGCTCGAACGAACGCAGAGCTCGAGGCTTCGAGCTCGTCCTGTCGCCTGGACCTCGCCGCCTGTCGTCCTGGACCTCGCCGCCGCCATCCTGGAGCTCGTCGGAGCTCCTCCGCCGCCGGAGGTGAGTTTGATCTACACATTTCAACAAGGAACCTCCTCATTAGGAGAGGATCCGGATCCTTTACCATCTCAGTTTAGACCTACTTTAGGGTGAAGTTCAACCTCACATCTTGGCTGATTGATAAAAGAACTCTAGATATCTTTAAGCTCGATCGCAATCTCCATTAGCAGATGTGGTTGTACAATCCTTGCAACTTGTTGGCTCATTCGGAAAGAACTTAATGAGTGTGTTTTCAACTCGAAGATCCAGACCTAAAAAGATGTCAAGAGGAGTGATTCACGCTCAATGGAGTTGTGGCTTGATCATCTGTCTGTCTCTGCATAAAAGCCAACAGCCATACACAAATTTATTGCTTACTCTCACCCCTCTATTACCTTGTATTCCCATTTCTGTAAATCCACTATTCTTTTCTATTGATAAAGTTTAAGCCCAGTCCTCTAAAATAAAAATAAAAAGAAGAACAAGAAGAAACCAAACTATTTGCCTAAGTAAACCAGTTCGGCAAACTAGAGCTTATACTATAAAAGTATACCCCTCAAACCTTTATCGAGTTTTGGATTTTTTTTAAATAGTGATGTTGTCCTTTAACAATAATGATTTTTAATGCATCCAGAGATCACACATTATCAACACATTTTTTGCTGGAGCAATCACACTTGCCGACAAGCAGCCATCACTTGAAAGCTCTAAAGTCAATATTTCTAGCACTCACTACTCAGAACGAAAGCAATAGAATGAAAGAGGATCATACATTGATCTTCTCTAGTCTCTGTAGTCATTCACAAATTCGAAATATAATGCTCAAATTTTCCAAATATAATCCCGTGAAGTTTCTGTGTACCGTTATCCTGCACATGCCCAGAGAGAATTATTTACTTCCATCATCTTTCTGTCCTTCGAAAAAGGTGTATGCATTGTTATTGCTTTCAATCTTCAGCTGCATTCTCTACTTTTGATCTGTTTATACGAGAAGTTTTCTAGAAAAAGACGGGAAGAAATAATCGAAAGAATGGTTCAGCTCCTGCTTCTGAATTGAAGATTATGGCAGGTATTGTCACAAGGATATGGACAGTCTATAGCCTTTACTTCAGCCCGATCAAAGTACCAGTCACCTACCGCCTTCGCAATGCCCTGCAAATCAACACCCGATTCAAAATCGAAGAAGATTCCATTTCATAAAACGAAAACTTAAGAAAACTGATGAATCTTCTGGAATCAACTCATTATGCATCCCCACAACATATTTGAAGCTCCTATGTTTGGTTGTGTTTAAAAAATTAAAAATTTAAAAAAAAAATCCTTTGTAAGTGCTTGTCCTGGACTTAGATATGTTTAAGCTCAATAGAACCACCTTAGAGGAAATAAAAGTATTGCATGCATAAGCATTTTGAATCTTTAACTATCTTGTCCGATTTTAGAATATTGCTATGTTCTTCTTTTATCATCGCGAAACTGTTTTTTTTTCTTTTCATAATCAAGTATTAAGACTCTAGAAGGATAACTTTTAACATCCGTGGCATGAAGGAAGAATAATCTGTAGACGTACCTTGTTGCCAATTCGGGGACTGTTTTTTGCAAACCATGTATCTTGATTCTCCATTTGGCAATGAGCAAAACATGAATTAATAAATAAACCATTTTGTTTTGGCATTGAGAATCCTTTTACAGCATTAAGCATTTGGTCCCGAAATCCTGAAAGTTAAAAAGGTATACATGCATCAAGCTATATATTGATCAGGCAAAAACCCGACATGAAAAAGATATCATACAATACGGTGGTATGGAGTACCTTGCAAGAATTGAATTTGTTCTGCAGTGCAATTTAAATGATTGTGCTTACACTCTCGCCAGTATCCATTTGGGTCAGCTTTGTCAGGAGCTAAGCTTTCCTGGAGCTGAAATGAGGCGTAATTAGGAGATGATCAGAATGTTTGCAACCTTCCAGTAATCATCTAGAAGAGTCAATTTTTCAGAATGCAGAAGTATTAATTGCGGATAGACCCCCTTTTCTATCACCAAATTTGACTTACTAGCCCTGTAGTTCTATTGTTGCAGATAGACCCCGTGAAAGAGTTTTATTGTCGCAGATAGACCCTGAAAAGGGCCAAAAGATTTTCACTCAGGGGTCTATCTACAGCAATAGAACTACACGGTTCAATTTGGCAATAGTGGAGGGGGTCTATCTGCAATTAACCCTAAATAAGAATATACCTGCCAGGCATCATATGCTGAGTTCAAAATAAAAGCAGGGGTCTGAATATCGGACAACACATTCTGTGGAAAGAAACACTGCAAAAAAACCAAAAGGAATCGAGTAAGTAGGAACCCAATAAGATCGTTTAGAACTCTCTGTAGTGATATATTTCTGTCGAAATAGTGGAGATACCGAAGTTCCACCCATACGAGAAGTGCATGTTTTTGGCAAGTTCTTTCCTGATCCCTTCATGTTGAAAAACAAGGAAAATATCAGAATAAAGTTGCCAAATTCTTCAATGTTGAATCAAAGCATAAAGGCCTTATTTGATCTCATGCGTCAAAAAAATAACGGATCAACAATTACCTGCAAGGTCACGATACCATCAAAGAAAGATCGTAGTGTCCTCCCACCGGCTACATCAAGGCTACAGTTGACACAGAATTAGATATAATAAGCACATAGTTGAGAAGATCAGAATGTTAAGCAATTAAGAAACGATATACGCGACAAATGAGTGATACATAAATGAGAAGTTTATGATGTACTTGTGGATATACACTAATCGAGATATGATAAAAAAATGAATATGTTGTAGGATACGGTAGTCAATATACACTAAGAGATATGATAGAAAAATGAATATGTTATAGGATATGGTAGTAGTTAATTTAACAAAGGATAGTGACCCTGAACAGAATTGAACGGAAGAATAGGATTCATGTAGCTGACGCCAAAAAATTGGGATGAAGTAATGTGATAAAAAAAATATCAATGATAGGAATCATACGCATCAAGAAATAACCCAGCATCAGAGAGGCACTTGACTTTCGTGCTTGTCGCAAATAATGCCCTGAAATCATCACAGTGCTGTATAGATGCTAGACCTCCAGCAGAGCATCCAGAAAGAAGTGCCTGAAAATTATTATGGCATGTAAATATTAGGAGCAGAAAAAAAAAATGAATACATTCATAATAAAAGCTAAGGAAAGTTACCTGGTTAGCTAGATGCATTCCCTTTGACATTAATTCTTCCATAGCAACTTGCCAAATACGTTGCCCACGGAAAAAGAGACCTTTTTGCTGGTAATAAAACAAAAAATATTTTGACACTATAAAATTACGGTAGAAGTGATGATTTTCAAAAGACATCAAGAACAGTTTCATGTCAATAGCATGGCAGTCATACTGACCTTATTTTCGCTTTCTCCAGTGAATGATGCACCGTCGCAATAGCGAACCTTGACTCTATTCCAATTAAAGAAGTCTGCAATCATTATAAGAATGAAAATTAATGAAGTCTCAGGTACTTGTGTAGATGAATTATACGAAGAGATTGAGGTTCACTGTGACTTGTGAGTACCAGGATTCTCCTTAGGCTTGTCGCTCATTATGCCAGTGAATTCTATCTCCTTCTCCATATAATTAGATGAACCATGGCGAGATTTCTTTCGAAAAACACAGGTTCGCAGATTATTGCACCAGCCTCCACCCTAGGAGAAGATTGTTGCATGGGTTTGCAAATTAAGTTTTCTTCTACTTTTCGATGTTACGTTTATCTTCAATTACGTTGTTGAGGACTACTGACCTCTAAATTAATGAGCCAACTGTTTGCTCCTGATCCAAACCCGCGATGAAGGTGGTAACCAGGTAGACTTCCATCAGTGCATACTGCGAAAGCAGGAACATTATAAGAAAATAACAACATAAACTCGAGCTAAAATTAAGATGAAAGTAAAACAAGAAGTGATAAGACACTGAAAGATCGATCGTGAGAGGGTACCTGTATCCTACCAAATCTTAAAACTTAATGGTGAGAAAGGGGATGATTCCTAGGATCCAACGACTCGCGCTTCATTTCCAAATTAATGGGGAATCGCATTGACATAACTACAGAACGGGTTTCCTAGTGCTTAAATCAAAATATAAAAATTCTAATGAACAGGAATGACTTCTTAAAAATTATAAGAGAATTTGATCAGTTCCTTTATCTCGAATTGCTTGTGAAAACAAAGTTTTCAGACTGAAATGTCAGCTGTACAGCACAAATTCAAAGCTTTCACCGGGATTAAACAAGATACAGCAATCATAACCTTAGCAAAGAGAATAAAATGATAAGTTTAGCAAATAAAGAACAGGAAAAGTACATCATCATCATCATCATAATGGCCAGAATATTAAAAAATATCCGAAAGGGGATCCACCTATATAATAACTAACTAATCATAGCATGAAACGCGAAACACAGTACCATGTGTGAATATGAATATAAAAAATTACAGGGTACAAACTTTAAAATTGATTCTATCAATCCTAATCACATCTCAAAGCCCTCCAAAAAAAATCATAAATAAGAATGGGAATTAAAAAAAATCCTTAAAATTGAGAGAATTATACCCGCTCCTCTAGAATCAGCAGAAGGGATTAGGGTCAGCTCCACAAACAAGGGTTTGCTCACGGACTCATTACTCTCATGAACCCTCACACTCGACTTCTGAGCATCAAACCCATCAACCCAAGTCCCGAATCTCAAAGCAATCAACAACGCCAGCACCCAAAAAAAATTCATGGGTTCTCTAAAAAAAGCTTAAAGAACAAAACCCAAGAGGCAGAATCCCTTATGTGCAACAGTAAAAAGGGAAAATCGGGGAAAATATCAAAATGCGTATTAATAGCGGATTCTGAACCAATTTTCGGTTTATCGTTTTTTCCAGAGGGGATTCTTTGTATTTTTCTGAAACTTACTAATTTACAGTTAATATTGCGAATATATGCATGATTCTGTTCGATTTTTCCTCCCTTTTTAAATCCTCTTTCTCTCTCTCTCTCTCAATATATATATAATGTATATATATCTTGTGAGCAAAGGAGAGCATTTAACTTTGGTTAATTTCATTAAAAAAAAAACTTTGTAAGGTCTCACAAATTCTCTGAACTTTGGATTTTTCTCATCGGACTCTTGCGTGAGAGAAAAAAAAAATTCAAGTTTTAGTGGATTGGATATGTTAACTTGACAAATGGTAAAATTTTAGGATTTTTTACGTTATGAGTGATATTTTAGTAATTTACAAGTAAAGATTTGGGCGAGAAACAATTAAAGTTTAGAGGGTATTTAGGAGACGCCACAAAATTCAAGGCGTTAGTTACGAGAGATAAAGGGGCGTTGAAAACCTCTCAAGGTTCAAGGTTTTGTGAAATTAACCCTTCGAACACTTTTGTAGAGTGAGATATTTTGGTCATTTTACCCGCTTAGATAGTTTAGATTGTGATCTGCTCTATTTTATTTCGACAAGACAACAATTTATTTATATTTATTTTGCTAACTAATTAATTATTGTTGATGTGATCCATTACTAGTCGTATAAGTAAATAGTATACAGAAGATGGTATTTTGAGGTGTGTACTATTATACACATTATTAAATTGAACTACGACATATTATCGTCCAATTTATATTCATAAATACAGAAATAAGATATGTTCAATGTTTCTCACTACCACTGATATTTTCAACTTGGTTTTTGGAGGGTCATTTAATTTCTCATTATATCATGTTAATGGACAAGGTTATATATCATATAATGTTAGCCAACATGTAGCTATGTTAATCAAGGATTCAGCTCATCTTCACTATTTAAAAAATAGTGGAGGGACCACTACATAATCACAACAATTGATTATCTAGTTGGTGTTTGTGATTTTTTTTCTTTTAGTGCAAACTAGTATTTAGCCCCGTGCAAAGCACGGTTTCTAAAAGATTTTCTACAAATACTGAACATGTTACCAAAATAAAGTATTCTACTTTAGATATGAAGTAGTAGATGTAATGCAAATAATAAAATTTGTTACCTGACTTGTAGAGTTAAATTGTTACCGGACATGCAAATAATGAAATGATTTCTTACATGTGCAGCAAGCGGCATTAAAATGGAGGGGTTTGAATAGCAAGTTAGGTATCTAACACGAGAAAATTTTGGTATGAAGGTTTTTATTACTTTTTATTTTATTATTTTTTTAATGAGGTCAATGTATCAGGATTCAATCAGAAATTTCAGATGCTAGTCCAATATGCATTCAATCTGTTCACTTTATGAGATGTTGGGTAGAGAATTTTTTTTTAAAAGTTACATGTTTTTTTTAAAAAAATTCCATTTAGATATCATGGATAACATCTAAATATTAGACTTTTAATTTTGAAGCTTCGGGCTAATTTTTTGATCAAATGTTACTTTAAGCTGTTCAGTTTATAGGATGTTAAATTCATTGGCTAAAAAAACCTATAATGGAAGGATACGATTAATAACGATAAACAACCAAGTAAAATGAATCCTATCTGATTCCTGGAATCTGTGAAATTCTGAACTATATAATAACGATAAACAACCAAGTAAAATGAATCCTATCTGATTCCTGGAATCTGTGAAATTCTGAACTATACAGCTATATGTCAAACCAACTAAAATGAATCCTATCTGATTCCTGGAATCTGTGAAATTCTGAACTATACAGCTATATGTCAAACCAACTGCGATTCTTTGAGATTCAGTGATATTTGCTGGAAGGATTTTCTTTCATGGATTTACTGCACGCAGGACTGGTCTTGACATAACACATGCAAGTATAACATACAAAGGTCCTGCTTATTGTAATTACAGTATCATTTCATGAGCTGAAGCTCACTGGAAATTAATCATAATAGATTATAGATTGTTGTCAAAGGCAGAAACTGGGAAGATACACAACCAATAAAAATTACATAGGTAGCTAGAGAATGATAATGACAGAATAATGGCCCTAAATCAACATTGACTTGAAAGCATTACTGACTTGAAAGCAATACTACTGATTGTACTCATTGACTTGAAAGCATTACTAATTGAAAGAAAAAAAAAATCTACCTGGTCGTGGACCTCGTGGTCATTTTGCATATGTGCAGAAGCTGAAGAACATTAGCTTGCACTGCCATCATCTACAAAAGCGAATTCGCAAACCAAAGCAAGATGATCACTTCCCCATTTCTTCAATAAGAAACATAACAAATCATGAAAAAAAATTTAAAACAAACACAGTTTTTATGTAGCTTCAACCTACTCCAATAATGATCATGCACCTTCCACTATAATAACTCCTTTAAGTTCTCATTATCATATTATCCATTTTATAATAAACATCATTAAAAAATCTAATGTTTTTTAGAATATATTTTGTGATCCGTGACAAAATTTTCATGTCCAACTTATCTTCTCTACTTGCAAATTGGAATTACTGCAATAGTTGTAATAACATGAACTGCCAGCAGTCAATAAATTGAAGGCCAATAACATTGAAATAACAATTATCCTTTTTTCCATACCAATTAAATGTCAATAAATTGAAGGCCAATAACATTGAAATAACAATTATCCTTTTTTCCATACCAATTAAATGCATACCCTTCTACCAGTATTTACAACACAGCATTATCCTTTTTTCCATACCAATTAAATGCATACCCTTCTACCAGTATTTACAACACAGCAGAATTACCCATTATGATAACCATAAAAAGAAAAAAAATAGTTAACCATAACGAAAATGGAAAAAATGTATAACATCAAAGAAGTCGGCAAATCGAGCATTTCCTATAAACAAATTAAAAGAATATAAGATAATGTTATGTAGATCAAAGAAGTCGGCAAATCGAGCATTTCCTATAAACAAATTAAAAGAATATAAGATAATGTTATGTAGTTTAGTAACAAATGCAAGGCAGTATAACACTGAAGAGAATTTTATACGTCACTTGGCAGGCCTCCGAACTTCTTCAACTTTTTAATTGGCAATGTCTCGACAACTGCTACTGGAACAATACCTGCAGAATGCATGTACAATCAAAAAGAGAAGTCAATCCAATTAATATGCATAAAGATTAATTATGTGAAACAACTTTAAAAAGTTCAATCACCATATATAATCAAGTTCCCATGAACTCTGAGTGATAGGAAGTCACCAATGGTTCACCGCAATTATCTCTAGAATTGGAACAGGGATGCTTCACAAAGGGAACCCTAACCTTAATTAACTGCATCAGAGGCGGATGAAGAAAACGATTGAAAAAATAGTGGAAAACTATTTTTTAAGGTATTTCTGTCCCTACTTTATAGGTGCGTGTATCTTCAATACTCTTTGTTGCATCTATATGGGTCACTAATGTCCGTCCGATCGCATATATAACAGCCTCTTACATATATTTTGCGTGGCACAATATTTTTTTTTGTTGCCACGAATTTCAATCTGACATACAAAGATGTAGTTAGAACAAAGGACAAAAACAACATGTTTAGAAACTTAATCTCAAAAAACGACCTCTTTAGAAATTATTTACCAAATTCCACCCAGTTTCAACTCGTTGGTTGCATCTGGGTCGAATTTGGTGGAAAAATTACAAAACTTCACTGATCTTTACGGGACTTCAAGTCTTGTGAAGTTTAAGCGCCAGATAATCAAGTTTAAGGGGAGTTTAAACTTCACGGGACTTGAAGTCCCGTGAAGTTTTTTAGCTTTTTCCCACCAAATTCGACCCAGTTTCAGCCAGTTGGCTGATACTGGGTCGTGTTGGATTTAATCTAATAAATCTATTTGTGGGCACATATGATTAATCAATGTGTATTGCTATCTTTCAGGATAACCCACTAAAGTGATCAATTAAGTTGGGTTAATTTGGTATTTAAATAAGTCATGGGGTTATATGTGCAGATACCAGGTTGTAATTGTGATTTATTGAGGGGCTAAATTACAAAAGTACAACATCTATAAATAAGGGGTTATGGTCCCTAATCTAGGGTTACTACATTCTCTAATTCTCTTCACCCCCATCTAAGAGAGAAATTCGGCTAAAGAGAAAACCCTAAGGTTAGAAGATCCAAAACCCAAAATCAAGATCAAGCAATGGATTCAGGTATAAGCTTCCGCTCTTTTAGATTTTTGTTAATCTCTTTGAATTAATCATGGCTATATGGTTTTAGATCTCAAGTTTTATGATGTAGATCTAACAAGTGGTATCAGAGCCACCTTGATTAATTCTTAGGGATTTAAGTTTTATTGGGTTTTTGATCTTAAATCTCTGGTTAAAGATTCATTTTTTGGGTTCGGATGAACAGTAATGTTCGGTGAACAGTAACGAAATTTTTTTTTCGGGTGAAAAGTAAAGTTTTTTCGGATGAACAGTAACTGAAAAAATCGTCGGTGAACAGTAACTTTTTGGAATTTTTTGGATTTTCTTTGATTTTTTCTTTAATTTTTTCCAATTCTGGATCTGTTTTGAAAATAAAAATCAAAGATTTTTTGGGTTCGGCGGCGGTTTCAGTTTGAAACCCTAAGGGTTCGTGGCGAGGCTTGAAATTTTCAAACGAACTCTGCGTTCGTTCTCAGGTTGAACTCTGCGTTCATTTTCAAACGAACTCTGCGTTCGTTCTCAGGTTGAACTCTGCGTTCATTTTCAAACAACTCTGCGTTCATTTTCAAACGAACTCTGCGTTCGTTCTCAGGTTGAACTCTGCGTTCATTTTCAAACAAACTTTGCGTTCGTTCTCAGGTCGAACTTTGCGTTCGTGCTCAGGATGAACTCTGCGTTCAATTTTAAATGAACTTTGCGTTCGTTCTCAGGTCGAACTTTGCGTTCGTGCTCAGGATGAACTCTGCGTTCAATTTTAAACGAACTTTGGGTTCGTTCTCAGGTCGAACTTTGCGTTCGTGCTCAGGATGAACT